GGCAGAGGGCAATTTGTGTGAATTAATTCGGTCCGTTTTTTCTCCCAAAAAGACTTTAGTATGAAAAACATGAAAAAGTACACTAATCAAAGTATTTGCCATCGCTTGCAATTATTTTTTCCTATCTGTCTGCTAGTTGTTGCATTCCGTGATGAAAAAACGACTCGTCCTTCGAAGCGGTCCATTTATTGAGCCATTTCTCTATTTTTTCATAATTGTTGAAGTGTTGGTGTACCATCGATCTGAACAAGTGATAATCGGATGGAGCAATGTCTGGTGAATACGGCGGATGATGTAAAACGTCCCAGCCAAGTGCTTCCAAGGTGGCCTTCACAATCTTTCCAACATGTGGTCGAGCGTTATCGTGCTGGAAGATCACTTTGTCGAGTCTCTTTGCATATTCCGGCCACTTATTCTTCAATGCGTTGTTTAAACGAATCAATTGTTGTTGGTAAAGTTCGGCAGTGATGGTTTGGCTCTGTTTTAATAGTTCATGATACATTACACCCTTCTGGTCCACTATATACAGAGCATTACTTTTTTGCCGTGAATATTCCGCTTTGGTATCGATGTGGATGGTTTTTCTGGGTCGCTAATGGATTTCCTTCGTTTGGAATTATCGAAATATATCCACTTTTCGTCTCTAGTCACAACACGATGCAAAAAGCCTTCTCTTTTTGGCCTGGCAAGCAAGATTTCAGACATGGCTTTTCGTCTCTCGATGTCTCTTTCTTTCAGTTCGTATGGAACCCATCTTCCTTCTTTGTGAATCTTTCCCATAGCTGCCAAACGCACAGAAATTGTTGATCGATCAACATTCAACAATTGTGCGAGCTCATGTTGTGATTGACACGGATCTTCATCGATTAGCGCCTGCAATTCCTCGTTCTCGAACTTCTTCGGCTGACCTGGACGAAGTTTGTCATCGACACTGAAATCATCACCTTTGAAACGTCGAAACCATTCTCTGCATGATTTATCAATGGGAGCACTTTCATCATAAGTTTCTACAAGCATTCGATGAGCTTCAGCGGCTGTTTTTTTTTAAATGAAAACAGAAAATGGGAACTTCTTGGAAATGATGCTTTTTTGGCTCAAATTTCGACTTTTTCAAATCAGATAAACACACAGATAAACACAGATGTTATTGTTACAAAACCAAACGTTTATCAACTGAATATTATTGCCAGATATCAAAACTAAAAAATAAAACCTTTTGCAGACATTAGAGATTAGAAAATTACATAATACAGCAATTGACCGCCAGATGGACCGAATTAATTCACACATATAATAATATGTCCCAAAGCTTTCCAATTTTAATATGAATAAATAATAACGCCACATTTATTAATGCCAATCGGAAAACACGGTATAATGACACGGTAATATGAGCCATTTTGTGCTTTCAGTTCTGGTCACATATCTTAGTTTACCCGATGCCTGTGATTTTATATATTGCAACCCAATATTGGGCGCATAAATTTTTTATATTGAGCAAGGCAAATCTATTGGAAGAGGCAATTTTCGCATTTTTCCAGAGACTTATTTCTGCCTTATGCGTGTGTTCCACTATAGTTTTGTTATCCATCGGCAGTCAATCAAGTATGATATACATAATATAAAATGTTTGATTCGCCTTAAGTTACGGTCTACACTATTGTCAAAAGGTTTAAGAAACACGAGATAAGTTACTGTTTCTGAATATTGGCGACTATGATAGTGGCTTGTCTGCCAATTTTGAAACAATTGTTGTTGTAATTATAGATTCAACCAATTAGGTAGGAGAGACTGGGGCTGATTAATACAGCTTTCCTTAATGAATTTTTGAAGCACAAGTAAAAAATGGAATATAAGCGGCATAAGAATTTTTTAATAACTACATGCTTACATAACACAAAAATTATTTTTTGGATTCAATATTTCTATTAACTTTATTACATCAATGAAAAATATAAGGCGATAACATTTGTAACAACCAATCTCATACAAGGTCATACGTATATGAGGTCAGTTGTTACAGTTGTTGTCAGTTGTTACAGTTATCGGGGTTAATTGTTACAGATCTGTATATTTCAAAGAATAGGTTTAACGATTAGAAATAAATGAAAAATGTGCATAACATAATTATTAATATTTTGCAGGTAAAATATATATTCATGTAGCATTAATGATATAAACATAAATATATTTATCAATGATATAAACATAAAAGCATATTTATCAATTATTTTAACTGCATTAGTAAACTAGTGCACTTACTGAACTAGTGCAGTAAGTTACAATAAACAACTGACAGCTGTAATAACAGATTCCGTAACAACCAGTCCCAGCTCATCATATTTACATATTTTGGTTACTGTATAAACAAAAGTATATTTTGTCAATATTCGTCAAGCCGTCAATATAACTAAAAATTATTACTTTTAAAATAAAGATTCTAAATAAACTGTTGCACTCATAATATAATGACCAGACTTATTAATATAACATGATTTATTTTGACTATCAAAAACTAGAAATGTTTTTTGTTTCTGAAAATATATTAGTTAGCCTGAAATAACTTATTACAACTTGACTGCAATATCTTTGCAGAATTACTATATTTTTTATGCAATTTTACCGTTTGTCATTTTGCAATAATTTTAAATATATCAACGTGTATCAACCATCCCCACTCTTTCCTGAACTTATTTTCTTTTATTTTTTAAGACATAATATTTTTAGTCAAGTTTAGACAAAGTTCAGGTTCGTTTATTATATTTTGCTCAACTAGTTTGGTCAAGTTTAAACTTTAACAAATTTATTCTATAATCAAAGATGTTAATCATGCTTACTATTTATTGTTCCAAAAGCTACTTGGCCAAAATTATTTCGGAATCAGCTATTATGTCTCCTGTATTTTCTCCAACAGAATTTTACTACCGTTTCTTTACACCACGTTGGATGCAGCCATTAGCAAACTTAACTTATGGAGTTTATATCACGCACGTGATATTGCTTATGCTTAACGTAGGACAATCAAGAACTGCAAGAACTTTTAACATTTTTAATTCAGTAAGTATAAAAAAGTTGATGTGTGTGTATGTACCATATAGTCAAACCTGCTAAAACAGATTTTATGCAAAATCTGTTAGCAATATCTATTGACAGAAAGACAACAGATTGTACACAGAATCTGTTTAACAGACTGTGACAACAGATTGGCAACTGAATGCGCGTAGAGCCTGCTGAAAAATTAATGCAGAATGCGCGTAGAGCCAGTCGACAGGCACTGACGGCAGATTGACAGCAAAATGCATGCAATCTGCCACCGATTTACTATCAGAGTCTATTAGTAGATCCTGTTAGCAGTCTGACAACAGTTTGGGCATGCAGATATCTGGATCTGTCGACGGATGCTACTCAATCTGTTGCCAATCTGACGTCAGTCTGTATACAGATTTTTTACTGGGGAGTTTTTTTATTTTCTGCGAAAACAGAACCAAGAATACTCTTTAATGAATGTCTCTCTCTCTCTCTCTCTCTCTCTCTCTCTCTTCTCTACTTATTAAATTTAATGATAATTTTTTACGTAGGTATCGGATACTGTTATGTTATTGCTACTTTCTAATATGATTTCTCTACTCTTGACGATATGCATCGAAATGCCATATAGGAGTTTAACGAAATGGTTATTCTCTGAAAACAACACAATTGTTGTTAACGGAAGGTATTTTAATGATAGATTTTTTCTTGTGTACAATTAATGAGACAGCTCTTTTCCTTTCAGGACATCCGAGTATAAAATAATGAAAGAAGAATAATGTATTATATATCCTGATTCTGCCGATGATGAGAATCCGAAATAAAACGAAACAGATTATCTTTCGTAAACTAAGTTTGTTTTGTAAATGGGATTTGGATGGGGATTGGATTTATATTATAATGTAAATTTGTAATTATATATATATATATATATATATATATATTGTAAACTAATCATTATAGGAGTTGATTGTTTGACAGACAATTAGTAGACTCTTTTCACTTAGATTTTATTATAAAAATTTAAATAAATTATTAAAAATCTCCAGCTCCAGTTTTCTAATAGATTTCAGATAATATTGCAGATCTGACATTTAGCTATGAGAATTTTATGATTGATTTCTATGACTGTTTTCTATTTTTCTTTATATATGCGCAAATTTATTATTATTTTTATTAAAAATATAATTTCATATTTGTATCGGAGATATTTTATATGAATATATTAGGTGCGCAACTAATAGCGTTTTTCATTGGGATGCACTGAGTGCGCATTAGGAACTCGTGGAGTTTAGGCGACACTACCCGAGTTTACCGACAGTGCAAGTTTTTTTGCACGCCCAATGAAACACTCATGACTTGATGAGTGCACATAAGAACCGATTCGCCTCGGATTGAAAGAAAATATATGCATTAACGTAAACTTCACTATGGAAGAATCAGAAGAATTAAGCATTTCTTTCAAAATTAATAATGACATGCTCTCGTTAAAACTTCTATCAAGTGAAACAGAGTAATACAATAAATTAATGAGTAAGTATAGAATTATATAGGACTTGCATGATATTGGATTTTGAGGTTATTCCCGTAATATAAATAAATTGTCGGCAAAGACATATGTACTTATGTACATAATAGTTTTTGGATATTGTCTACTCGAAAAACTTGAATGCATATATAACCCCTTGTAAAGCTTGTAAAACACAATTCATTTGATATTCAAAAATATATACATAAAAGAATATTAACTGAATATTATTGATTCTTGTGTCAATTAATTTCAGATGACGATACCTACAGCATACAATATATAAAACTTGTGATTAAAAATGGATTGTGTGTTCTACATGGAAGCGAAAATCAGAAAATTGAAGAAATATCTCGAGTGATTGAAGATGAGTAAGTAAAATTTTTTTGAGATGTATTAATTGCAAGCTATCAAAATCTTCCGAAAAAGCACATTAAGAAGTTAAGAGCAAAGTTTATTTTATAAAATATAATTACCATTTTATTTTACAAGTTTACTTTAAAAAAATAAGTAAGTTTACTTTAGGGTAAACAGGAACTCTTCAGTTTCTTGCATACATATATTAATTCCAAGCAATCTTGTTTTTCATTATTTCTTCAAAGAATCAAAGTTCTACAGAATTCAAATGTACACAACAGAAAAAAAATTAAAAAAAAATAAAGGGTAAGTCAGAGGACCTCTGCAACGAACTTTGACAACTTGTTTGGAAGGTCATTCTAAGTAAAAAATGTTATATGAACACAGGTCCTATTCTTAATATTTACATAGTTGCAGAAGTTGTAAAATTTAGGTGACATGTACAGTTATGAAATGAATTATGCATTTATTTCTTCAAGTATCCTTGCGGACAGTTTACAGGAGTTGTTCAAAGTGTTTATTCTGAATCTGATTACTTTTATTACACCATCGTAGCAGTGATTGTCAAATTCTGTCGAACATTTGAGGTCTGTAAATATTAAGAATAGGGTCTATGTTCATATGACATTTTTTAATCAGAATGACTTTCCAAACAATCTGTCTAAGTTTGTTGCAGAGGATCCTTACTCACCCTGTATATGGCAGTGTAAAATATCAATATATTTTGTATTATAGAGAACAATTGATATTCCACGCGAATAGTCATGGTGATAATCGCAGCAATGAAGATCAGCTATCGGAGTATAATAAAGAAAATGAAGCACTCATGTTTGAATCCTTTGAATCACAGGAGTATGATCAGAATGAATCACAATCGCAGGAGTACGATAAAAAAGGAAAGAAGAGTAGCGGTAAATCTGTTTTAATAAAGCATTTACGACTATTCATAGCACTATGATAATGTACTATAAAATATAGTATTTGTTATATTCGAGCAGAAAATTAATACGATACGAAACGAAGAATGATACGTTAATAAATATAATCTAAATATATTATTAACAAATAAAATACATACAATATATATGTATAATAGAATATATATAAATATAATATAAATGAAATAAATATAATATGAAAAATGTAATATAAAATATAAAAGATTTTTTAAAATCTTTGACTTCACAAAATTTTTACATTATTGTAATACCTACTAATAGGTTTACTGGTGCTATAATGTAGACTATTGTATTAATCATTAAACAACGTGATTTTCAGATTACTGGAGCAATTCAGGAACATCGTTTCTTCTCGATAAATATGAAACATATATGTCGGATATTGGTCCCATGAAAAAATTCAAAACTAAAAAATTGATGTGGGCGCAAATTTCAAAAGATATGCTGACGATGTTGGACGTATTAAAAACTCCTCTTCAAGTTGAAAATCGGTATAAAACCGTTCTCAAAAGGAAAAAAAAAGCAGTTGAGAATAACTCTAAATCAGGCAGCTCTAGAGAGGATGTACCATTCGAAGAAGAATTGCGTAAAATTGTTCATTCGGACGATAGTATTGAGCCCGAGGTGTTGCGAAATGCAAGGAGCGTTAAATATCCTAAATTGAATACAAGAATGTCGGAAGAAATCTGCAATGATAGTGCCTCTACACATTCTACTGATAGCTCACCACCGAAGACAAAAAAATCGAAACCAAGTGATATTGATAAAAGGATGGAATACTGGAAAAATAAAGAAGCGGCAAAAGAAAGACGTCACCAAGAAAAGTTGAATTTAATACGGGAGTTGTTCGCCAAACAAAAGTAGCGGGAACTAAAGTAAGATGATACAGAAACAAGCAAGTATTAAAAAAAACCAAAGAAAGACTAATGTAAAATCAGCCTGAACCATATGTTAATATGAAAGTTCCTAACTAAAACGTTGGATGTGATATATAATTTTAATTATTTTTTTTTCTCTTATAATTTTGTACGTTTACTAATGTATGTCTTTGTTTTTAATATTACTGGTTTTTAATATTAGCGTATGCATATTTTGATTTTCGCACTTTACGAAAGATATAGTACTGCTCAGACTATTAAGTATGAACCAGTATAAAGTAAACTTATTGTGTTATTTAATTTTAAAACAGTGTTATTTAATTTTACAATCAAACTTTTTGAAAAAGCGTGTATGTTAAAAAATTACATGTTTATGAAATAAATAAGAGATATAATATATGAATTTTGAAAAAATAATCAATATGTACGTGTTATAAAAAAAATATGCTTTGTTTTTATACGTTTTGTTTTTTATTGGAAAGTATGTACTTATTTGCCACAGGACAAATAAACGTTTGATAATTTCATATTGTATTGATTTTTATTTCATGGAAAAAGTACATTCATCAATTGGTTTCTTTTTACTTCCCCTAATCTTCGTAATAGAGCTTCTTGTTGACCTTTGCCTTCATTATTATAATCTTCATTGTTTTCTATAACAATATCGACATCAAAGTTATCGTTGTTGTCTATGCATAAGTTATGCAAAACGCAACATGATGTAATAAATTTTGATATTTTATCAACAGTATGTAGATCTACTTCGATTAATTGTCGAAAACGATCTTTCAACAGTCCAAACGCATTCTAGATCAATACTCGAGTCGCAGACAGCATTTTATTAAATTGATTATCCTTTGCAGACAGATTTCCGTAGTCTTTAAATGGTATAATAAGCCATTTTCTTATTGGATACGCTCCATCGCCTAGGATGTGATATTTTCCGCCTTCACATATTCCTAGCAACTCGTCGCATATATCTGATAATTTGAGTACGCGCGCATCGTGAATTTTCGACGGGATTCCTGTAAATGTATCTATAAATCTCTTTCGAGCATCACATATGCCCTGCAATGTTATCGAAGGGATGTCATGTCTATTTACATATGTCGATTTTATTTTGTGGGCTGGCGTTCGGACTTTAATGAAAGTCCCATCAATACAGCCAAGAACTTTCGGAAATCCTGCAATCTTCAATTTTATATACATATACATTAAATAACTCATTAGAAAAACATACATAAAATACAATAAAGCTGAAACTAGTAGCAAATTCGCATAAGCACTGTTTAGAACTAAAGAATAATAGAAAAATTTTTAGCATTAAATAATTAATTAACAAGAAATTGACATTTATTAAATAATAATTAAAAACTACTGCTTTCATAATTCAGCTATGAATCGGCTGCTAGCTTTAGCTTCATTAAAATACATTAATTAAATATACATACTTGAAGGAATTCGTTTGCAGTATTTTCTTTGTCAGAAAATTTGATGACGTTTCTAGCTATATCGCATAGAAAATCCATCATTCTTTTATTTTGTCGAAAAATCGTTGTAGCGCATACTCCAAATCTTTGTGCAACATCTCTTAAGCACACTTTATTTCCTGCAAACCTATACAAAGTAATATTTTTTGAAATCTTTTTAATATTATATATATATATATATATATATATAATATGAGTAGTGGATGAATTAAAAACTATACATGTATATGTAAAACTTACCACAAAAAAGATAAAACGTGTGATTCAGCAGAGGACGGTTTAATACCTCCATGGCTTGTATCACCAGAATAGAACGTCGAATTTTCGAAATTATTTATAATATCATATGCTGTTGCCCTCGAAACTGGGATTTGAACTACAACAAAAATAAAAATTACTTTCTACTTTTATTTTCACAAGCTAAATTATAACAATAAACTTACGTCGTGATCGGAATATTGATATACTATTTGCAAAAAGTTTTTCATTTTAGGAACAATTCGCCTCGGATTTCGAAGAAAATACTCATCTTCATCACTGCTGGATGAAGATGAAAGGAAATCCGAAATTATCACATACGTTTGTTCATTCAAAACATCTCTGTTCTGCGCCGCCATGTTTTGCACTCAACCGACACCATCTCTCCGAGATCGTGCCGAATTTGTGCACGAAAGTGCAAAAACTCGACACTACATTTTCCAATGAAACACGACGCATGATTTTAATGTGCACTGAAATTCCCAATGAAACACATCGTCCACGACTAGTGCGCATTGAGTGCGCACTCATTTTCCCAATGAAAAACGCTATTAGTGAGTCAATTTTTTATAATACAGATAATTATTCAAAGACCGACTTGCTTCGATAAAATCATGCTGTTTACCATTATCAAGCTGCAGCAAAAAACAGAACCATTTATAATTCCTGGTAAGACCTTGCAATAGCAGACGGATTTGTGACGTATATTCGGTCGGTGCTTATGAGAAAAAAATAATTTACATAATATTCATTTTATTCACATTTAAAACATAGTGGAATGGTAAAACATGGTAGAAATAGAGGAATGGGATAGACACTTTAGGAGATTATTAGGGGGAGTGAAATGGATGGTGGTCAGAGGAAGGGGAAGAAATGAGGAAAGAGGAGAGGAGAAGGGAATAGAAAGAAAGGAGGTAAGAAGGGTAATAAGGAAACTATTAGGTGTACAACTTTGCTTTCGCTGTTTTTTTCCGAAATTCGAGGCTTTATTGTAAAAAACTAGTTATACATTTATGATTCAAAGTATTGTCCATCGCTGGCCACTACTTTCTCCCATCTTTCAGGAAGCGTACGAATCCCGCGTTGAAAAAACTAGACATCTTTTGAAGCGATCCACGAATCGATCCAATTTCTTACTTCTTCATAAAACCGGAAATGCTAATCAACTAGGCCGTGTGCCATTGATCGAAACAACTGATAGTCAGAGGGAGCAACGTCTGGAGAATACGGCGGGTGGGTACGACTTCCCATTTCAACGTTTCCAAGTATGTCTTGACCATTTTCGCATCATGGGGTCGAGCATTGTCATGCTGCAAAATCACTTTATCGTGTCTCTCGTTGTATTGCGGACGTTGATCTTTCAATGCTCGGCTCAAACGCATTAATTGCGTTCGATAACGATCGCCTGTGATTGTTTCAGTCGGTTTTAACAGCTCATGATACACTACGCCGAGCTGGTCTCACCAAATACAGAGCATGACCTTGCAGCCGTGAATATTCGGTTTGGTCGTCGACGTGGAAGCATGGCCGGGATATGCCCATGATTTTCTGCGCTTGGGGTTATCGTAATGAACCCATTTTTCGTCCCCAGTCACAATGCGATGCAGAAATTCCTTCCGTCTTTGCCTTTCAAGCAATTGTTCACAAGCAAACAAACGCCGTTCAACATCTCTCGGGTACGAATTTCAACTCGTGCGGCACCCAATTTCCTTGCTTCTGAATCATTCCCATGTCTTTGAGGCGTTTTGAAATTGCTTGTTGAGTCATTCCCAATGATCGTGCCAATTCTTCTTGACTTTGACAAGAGTCTTCATTAAGTAATACCTCCAATTCTGCATCTTCGAAAACCTTCTCTTTTCCACCGCTATGCCAGTCTTCGACATGAAAATCACCGTTTTTGAAGCGTTGAAACCACTCACGACACGTTTTTTCACTAATAGCGGCCTCACCATAAGTATTTGAGAGCATTCGATGAGCCTCAGCCGCAGATTTCTTCATATTGGAGAAGAAAATTAAAACCTCCCGCAAATGACGAGAATTTGGCTCGTAAACTGACATTTTCAATCGAGAATAACTTTATGATGCAAACACAAATCGACTAATGTTTCTATGGGGGTATGTTGACAGATATTTATGGACTGAGTCCAAGTTTATTGCATGACGTCTATGATCTATTTATTTCGACCACTACTTACAGCTATAGCTATCTATAGGAAAACGGCGGAAACAAAGTTGTACACCTAATATATATATGTAATGTTATATAAAGACACGTAGTATATAGATATTGAAGTATATTACATAATATATGAAAATATAATATATATAAATTATAATGCTAGAATTCTCCTTTATAAAACATAGAAAAGGTTATTTGTATAATGAATTTATATTCCTATTTTTCTGTAATATATATATATTTTTATACGTAAGAGTAAAAGAAACATAAATTAAAAAAAAATAACAAAACATAGCTAAACGGGAACACGCAACTTGGCGAGTACCAGCACCGCGCACAGTCTGCTGCCCTACGCCGTCATTTGGAAATAACTCTGCAAGTGTTAGAATAACATACCTAAAATCGCGAAATTTCAATTTGTAATTTGTCAAATGATTGAGTGTTGCATCGTCCCCGGTTAACAGTAACTTGTGTACATACTTAGGTAAACAGCGTAACATACTTAGGTAAAGAGCGACGATTTTGCCACAGGTAAAAGTTCTTTCTTGTGCAAAAATGCGTCGAATGAGACTAGTCTCATTAAAATTGGAGCTGACTGTATACTTCTAAATATTTACCATAATAATATAATATTCATAATAATTTCGGCGCGCCAAATAGGAAAAACTTCTCAGTATCGTTATAGTCGCACCCACGACTCAGATTACAGCCGAGAAAGAATCAGCCTAAAACCCGTGTCACACTACGGATTGAAGATCAAAGATTGCGGATTGAAGATTAGTTTTCGACAAATCAACGAACTTCGGTTTTGATTCGCTTTATTCCGATTGGTCAAATTTCAATCTTCAATCCGCAATCCTTGATCTTCAACCCGTAGTGTGACACGGGCTTAACTCGCGTCGCTGAGCGAGAACGAGAGCGAGAAAGAGGGAAAAATATTCTCGCTCATGTCGCCGAGCTAACACGAGAGCGAGAAAGAGGGAATGATATTCTCTCTCTCGCTCGGCGCGCTGACGATTACCGAGCACGTGGCCAACACAGATAGACCGAGTCGGCTGTTTGTGGGTGCGTGGTGGAGGAAATTCGCTGGCAAGCCCGCCGATTTCTTATCACTGAATGGTGTTTAAAAAATGAAGCAAGAAGAGAGCTCGCCGTCTGCAATCAAATGTGAAGGTCATGCTCACGGTTTTCTTTAACCATCGCGGTGTTGTGCACCAGGAATTTCTTCCAACTGGTCAAAAAGTCAATGCAAAATACTACTTGTCAGTCATGAGGTGTTTGCGCGAAACAATCCGTAAGAAACGACCAGAATTGTAAGAAAACAACTCGTGGATTTTGCATCATGACAACGCACTATCGCATACCTCGACACTTGTTGTGAATTTCTGACAGAAATCTTAATGAATGTCGCTCCGCAAACACCGTATTCACCAGACATAGTCTTCTGCGACTTTTTCCTGCTTTCCTTACTGAAAAAACCACTTCGCGGACAGCATTTCGAATCGATTGAGAACATCAAAGAAAAATCGCTGCGTGAATTGAAGGCCGTCAGGCGCGTATGAACGATATTTCCAGGACTAAATCAAACGCTGGCATATGTGCGTTACATTACATATTTATGAAATTATGTAAGACTAGGACACTACAAGTACGCATCATTCTAGCTTATTCATATTAATTATTCATATAATTATTCATATTAAACTCTTCGAGGCAGTATGTCTTCTACCATCACGATGTACGCACAAAGGTTCGCTTACTATATTATAGTACTCTTATTGTTGAAAATAACACATTCCCATATTTCGGCCAAACAAAATCACTTAATGTCGGAACAATGGGCGTTAGAAGATATGCCTTTTTTATCCATTATTTTTGCAACATCGGAATATTTGCCGGCTGGACCATGTAAAGAAGATACACGGAGATTTTTGCATGACCTACTTAACGGTTCTCTATGGGCTACACAAAGTAAGTTTATGTAAATTATAATATATTTGACGAATTAAAACACGAAAAAAATGTAATATGTGTGTTTGATATTATTTTCTCAAACTATACGCAATTAGCGCATTTTAAGAAATAATTTATGAAAACCTAACACATATAATGTGACATATAACATACCTGTTGTAATTTCCTGTTCAACAATATAATTGTTATGTAACATATATATTACATGATACATTATGTTTGTTGTGAAATATCAACACCAATACTAAAACAATTAAAATATGAAAGATTCAAACTTATTCAATTCATATAAGTTGAGAATTTTCGAACAAGAATAAATGATTACTATAATAAAACTAGTAGATGCTAATAAATCGATTTATTTTAGGGGACCAAAATGCTTTGGTTTGTGTACATTATTGACAAGTGACCATGAATATTATTGCATAAATATTTTATAAAATATATAGTTTGAAAATTGTATTTTCGGATAACCAAATCTAAATTTTGCGAAATGTCTGTTCAAAACTTTGTCGGCAGATTAGTAGCAAAAATACAATAATGCTTATCCGCTAACAAAATATGATAACAAATTGATGGTAAATATCCAACAGGGTCACCTGTGTGAACTTGACACCCTACTTTTCAAAAATTAACTTGTCTGCATAAAAAACATTAGATTTTCGTTTGTAGTTGTTTGTAGTAACATTAATTTCGTTTGTAGTTCGACCCTTTAAAAAATATAAAAATTTACAAAAATTACACCCACCCGACTTTGAGATATCTCAAATCCGCTTTCGCAGCCTTCTTTAGAATCGTTTGTAGTTGTTTGTAGTGCTTTTCGTTTCGTTTGTAGTTGAATTGTTCAAAAGTTGTAACAATTTAAAAAAAAACGCCCAAGAGGCGATTCGGTTAATTTTTAAGATATCTCAAATCCGCTTTCGTAGTCTTCTTTAGAATCGTTTGTAGTTGTTTGATTCGGTCAATTTTTGAGATCTACTTTCAACTACAAACAACTACAAACGATTCTAAATAAGGCTGCGAAAGCGGATTTGAGATATCTAAAAAATTGACCGAATCGGTTCTTGGACGTTTTTTTTAAATTGTTACAACTTTTGAACGGTTCAACTACAAACGAAACGAAAAGCACTACAAACAACTACAAACGATTCTAAAGAAGACTGCGAAAGCCGATTTGAGATATCTCAAACTCGGGTGAGTGTCATCTTTTAAAATTTTTATATTTTTTAAACGGTTGAACTACAAACGAAATTAATGTTATTACAAATAACTACAAACGAAAATCTAACGTTTTTATGCAGAAAAGTTAATTTTTTAAAAGTTGGGTGTCAAGTTCACACAGGTAACAGGATCTGACGTTCAGTAACTATTTAAATATATTTAAATGGAACATATTAGAACTCTGCTCGATTTTTGTTGCCAATCTACTGATAAATTATATCAGCAAACGTTATGTCAATATATGATTTTCATATGACACAGATAGTTATCGATCCGCTATATCTGATCATATCTGCTGCCAATCTAACGGCGTATTACTACCCGTGCAGCACATAAAGTTGCAGCAACATTATTGCAACGTTGCAGCAATGTTGCTATAACTTTTGTACTATATAAGTAACACTCCATTTATTAAATTGATATTGATCTATTTTGCATTTTATATACAGGGTGTTATAAAAGTCCCGGAAGAGCAGAATAACTCGAAAAATATGAGTCCTAGAAAAAACGCGAAGTACTGGATTTTTATGATTTTTTCCTGGCTATCTGACGGTGACCTTGGATTTGATCTAGACAATGACCTTGAAGGTCATTTCAAGGTCAGGTCAATTTTTAATAGGACACCAACTTTTGACACCAGAAATGAAAAGAGCGGAAAATTTTACGTTCGGATATAACCTTGAATACTGCCAAATTTGACCTCTGAAGGTCACATAAAGGTATAAGCTTGTTTTGGGCTGAAAACGCGAATATCTTCGAAAATGCACCTGCTAGAGAGCAATGTTACGCATAAGAATAAGAATGTAGAGGTCAACGAGGGACATTCAGCCGTGACCTTGCCCTTATTCTCAAGGTCATGAGTTAAAATTATTATTAAGGTCAAACCAGACTTTTTTAGGGCTGAAAATCCATACTTTTGACCTAAAAGTGTCAAGATTGGAAAATTTTACGTCCGGATATGACGTTTTCAACTTTGACCTTGTTCTCAAAATTATGCGTTTTAAGTTACTTCACTGATCGTGAAGTCTACTGAAAGTAAAGCGTCTCGGAACCCGACCACTGAAGGCAAGGTGTCTCAAACCCGACCACTGAAGGCAAGGTATCTCAAACCCGACCACTGAAGGCAAGGTGTCTCAAACTCGACCACTGAAGGCAAGGTGTCTCAAACCCGACCACTGAGGGCAAGGTTCAATTAGTCCTGGCTACCAAAGGCAAAGCATCTTGTAACTCGGTCTGAGATTACAAGAGATGTTCAAAATGTTCCCCATTGACCGTTTGACAGTGTGTTTGACAGGTCAAGGTTGAAAACGTCATATCTGAACGTAAAATTTTTCAATCTTGACACTTTTGGGTCAAAAGTATGGATTTTCAGTCCTAAAAAAGTCCGGTGAGCTTAATAATAATCTTAACTCATGACCTTGAGAATAAGGACAAAGTCACGGCTGAATGTCCCTCGTTGACCTCTACATTCTTATTCTTATGTGTAACATTGCTCCCTAGCAGGTGCATTTTCGAAGATATTCGCGTTTTCAGCCTAATACAAGCTTAGACCTTTATGTGACCTTCAGAGGTCAAATTTGGCAGTGTTCAAGGTCATATCCGAAAGTAAAATTTTCCGCTCTTTTCATTTCTGGTGTCAAAAGTTGGTGTCCTATTAAAAATTGACCTCACCTTGAAATTACCTTCAAGGTCATTGTCGAGATCAAATCCAAGGTTAGCGTCAGATAGCCAGGAAAAAATCATAAAAATCCAGTACTTCACGTTTTTTCTAGGACTCATATTTTTTGAGTTATTCTGCTCTTCCGGGACTTTTATAACACCCTGTATGTACTTGTGTATATAAATACCGATATTATATTAAATTCTACTTTAGTGTTTGATTCTTCTACTAAATATCCGGATGGTATATTCTACGGACATACAAGACACGTAGGAAATTTTGACGAATGTTATAACATGCAAGTTAATGTTATCGAAGAGGGTGCTGATGTGCATGAAATCAATGGAAAATATTGTCGAATCAATATTACATATAAGAAGATGCAAACTATATCGGTCCAAAAGAAATCATCAAAATCACAGTATATAAGCAATTCGTTGGACATGAGAAATTCCTTTTGGAAACTATTAGAGGTATTTTATTATGCTAGTTTATATATATATATATATACATACATATATATATATACATATATATATATTTATATATATATATATATATACATACATATATATATGTACAGGGTGTCCCATTTTAATGTCCCACCCCAAATAACTCTTCAGTATTGAAGTTTCAAGGAAAATTATCTGAATAAAAGTTGTCGGGATTTAAGTGAGCTATTTTATGATGACCTTGACTTTACTTTGACCTCTATTTTCTAGGTCATTTGAAGGTCAATTTACGTTTTTTAAATGGGAATCTTTATTTTTTATTACATTGTTTTTTCTGCTAATTAATTTGAATAACTTTTGTCTAGAACATTTTTTTATTTGCCTAATATTTTTTTAATACAATTAAACAACATATGTACTTGGATTTTCTCCAACATCCATTACCAGAATATTTCAAAGACATTCCACTGGATGTTCGTGCAAGAATGTAGTTTCAACAGGATGGCGCTCCAGCACATTTTACTTGTCGTGTTCGAAAATTCTTGAATCAGTGATATCCAAATCAATGAATAGGTCGAGGAGGACCCGCTTTATGGCTTCTAAGATCATCGGATCTCAATCCCCTGGACTTTTTTGGGAGGATATGTGAAAAATGCTATATTTGCTAAGGCGCCAACTACAAGAGACGATATGATGAAGAGAATTACGACAGCTTGTCGAGCAGTTACGGTTCAAACACTCAGAAACGCTCAGGAAAACTTCAGAATTAGACTTAATCTCTGCATACAAAACAATGGAGGTCATTCTGAACACATGATGCCAAGTGGAATGCCTCATGATGATTAATTTGTTGACCTAAATGGTCAGACCGGGGTCTGATCTTGCGGTTAATTGGCCGGATTTGTACTCGATCTTGCCTTAGTTTGCCGGATTCGTATCCAACTTGCCTTGATTGGCCGGATAGGTACTCGATCTTGCCTTAATTAACCGGATCGAAAACTGATCTTACATTAGTTGTCCCGATAGAAACCTGAACTCGCCTAATTAGTTTAAAATGATATTTAATTTCAATCAGAAGGTCAAGATAATCATTAGGCAAGATTATTAGAAGGTTAACGTGATTTTTTGAATGGAAAACATATTCTTCACCACAGAAATGAGAAGAGCAGAAAATTTTACGTTCAGGTATGCTTCCTGCTTATAAAATCAGAAGGTCAAAATTAATTTGACCTTATGTCAGAACAAGGTCACTGGCGAATGACGTTTTTTTCGAAAATATGAAACACTATTCTTGTACATCGTCATAAGAGATTTAGCAATGATGGCTTTATTGGTCTTCAACGATGATCTTTAGTAGGGGTCATTCATATCCATAAGTAAAAAAGCGCTTTTCTGTCTGAGTTATAAAATAGGTTTTCCGATATGGGTTTCCAAAAAAAAAGAATAACTTCGGACCTCCAAATGAACCTTGAAATTTGACCTCAAGGTCAAGATTAAAGTCAACCGTTAAGTGTCCCACTCTAACTCCTACAATTTCCTATCTTACACATTTTTCTGCTTTTGGCTTGTCTGATGATGTTAACTGTAATGACATTAAGATGTAATGACATCTTTGATTGACCTTGAAATGTACCCTGAAGGTAATTACGACCGTTATTGGTGTACCAATATCCGAACGTAAAATTTTCCGTTCTTTTCATTTCTGGAGTCAAAAAATATAGGTTCCCATTTAAAAATAACGGTTGATTTAAATTACCTTGAAATTTAAACCTCAAGGTCAAAGTAAGGTCAAGGTCACTGAATGTATATCCCCATCCAGCCTTAAAAAACTTTTGTCCTGAAACATTTTTTCGTCGACTCCGAGATTTCGAGATTTCTTTAATGCGAAAGTTAAAATGGGACACCATGTAATATATGTATGGGAGACCTTGAATAAGTTCTCGCTGTTTCTTCCGTGAAATGATGCTTTATTTAAGAAAAATTAGTAAGTCAAGAACAAAGTCATTGAAAGTATTGTCCAGTCGCTGGCCACTAAACTTTCTCCCATCTTTCAGGTAAGCGTACGAATATCCCTGTCGTGAAAAAACTACATCTTTTTGAGTAACTCCCGAATAGACCAATTTTTTGCACTCTTCAATAAAACCGGAATGCTAGCTCACACTGCAGGCCTGATGTCATTGATCCCGAACAAGTAGTAATGGAAAGGGAGCAATCGTCCGGTGAATACGGCGGGGTGGGATAAGACTTCCCATTTGAACGTTCAAGTAGGTTCTTGACCTTTTGCCATAATGGCCGGTCGTACATGTCATGCCTGCAAAAAACTTTGATGTGTCTTCTCGTTATTGGCGGCACGTTTTTCTTTCAATGCTCGTGTCAATCATCATTGACGTCGATAACGATCTCCCTGTGATGTGTTTCGTTCGGTTTGTAGGACATCAAAATATGATACACACCCAGCTGATCCTACGCAAATACAGAGCATGAGCTTGAGCCGTGATAATTCGGCTTTGCGTCGATCGTTGGGCATGGCCGGGCAATATCCGCCCCAGATTTCTCGCTTGGGTTATCCGTATGTCAACCCATTTTCCATCGCCAGTCACCGAATGGATGCAGAAATCTTCCTTCTCTTGCCATTGATCAAGCCTTGTTCACCGTAAAACAAACGCCTTCGCGACAGTCTCTCGGGTCATTTCAATCGTACGGCACACCCAATTTCCTTGCTTTTGGAAAATCATTTCCTTAATGCTTTTAAAAACGTTTGGCAAACCTGTTGTGTGATCAACTAGAATGAGTCG